CCAAATGCAAAGGCAAAACCAAATCCAATGCCGAACGGCAAGTGCAAATCCAGGGCAGAGGGTGCCCGATTGTCTCACCAGACTCACCCCCTCGGATTCCAATTTATCTATAGTAGATCTCCGTCCATATATATCTAAATATATTTCCATGCCGCAAATGCTGCAATTTCGAGCCAAAACGCTCGCATGTGCAATCATTTTTTATCGCAAATCTCCCGCTCTCCACAGCTCACAACTCTAAGCGGCCGTTGCGAATCGCTGTCATGTGGTGAGGTCCTGCCCCGCCCCCTGGCCAATTCCCGCTTGCCGCCCCTTTTTGACTGCCCAGCGGGGTGTTAAATTGCCAGAGCTGCTGCCTCAATTTCAGCGTCATTCGACGCCATTAACCTTCTGTCAATTTCAATAAGTCAGCGTCGCATAACTAAAAAAGCCGCCTGGCTGCCATTCATGAAAATCTGCTGCAATTGCAGGGCCAAACGAAGTTTCACATCTAATACAATATTGATAAGCAGGACGATAAGTGACCAAGTGCACAGTCGATGGCAAATCTGAATTCGAGCTTGTCAAGATGGACATGTATGTCCTAAATTACACTCGCCTGGCTGGCCAAATACCACAGGGAATGGCCCGAAAATAAATTGACATTGTTAATGCTGGAAGTTTTAAAGTCCGAGCTCTGCACTTGATGGGCTGTTGAAATTCTAGACAAGCCAAGCGTACGATTTCCTTTTCAAATAAAGCCAAAGGTATTTTCGGCCATCTCACAGAGGGCAGTAAGCAATTTGGTTTTATTTATTGCAGGAGCATATCTCTTTTTCGGATCTCCTTGAATATTACGTAGTTTTCATTTTCTTCCTCGCATTTGCTAAGGTATTTCAGATTTCAGGCATGAATGAGCAATATTGAAACAATATGAATTTCCTCCAGCATTGTTTAAAGATGAATTGATTCTGATAAAGAGATATACAAATTCCTTGCACAAATACTAACTTGTGGAAATGTAATAGATTTTTACACAGAAATTGTTATTGAGCATACTGCATTTACCACTCTATTGCGCATTGATACAACGATGCTAGCTTTATTCCGCTTTATTGCCAATTTGCGTGAATTAATACTCGTATTAATTTAACCCTTGTAAGCTGCCGGTTTTAACTTGAAATTCCGCCAAGTGACAAACCGCGAAGCAGGGAACTTGCCATCGACGGCAGTGTTTTCCACTGTTTTCCACTATTTTGTATTTTTATCCCACGAATTTTGTATGTGTATGCCGGCGAACGTGAACACACCTTTTCTGACCGCATTCCCCAGGCGGCGGACATCGGGCCGTTCGTTTGGTGGCTGCGCTTGTTGCCATTTCCGTTTCCGGTTGCCGCTGTCGTCGTTGTCATGTCTACATGTCCTGCGTCCTGTACTCTGCATGTATGCGTCCGTTCCGTGCCTGCATATGCATGTGTGTGTGTGCGAGTTTGGCGTGTTGCACATAAATCGTTTAAAATAAAGTGATAATTGCATTTGTGTTGCAACTGTCAAAGTGACGTCAGTCCAGGAAAGTCCTTCGCAGCTGCACGTGTATTGGTGGCTTAACGGACTGAACTGAACTGGATGACGTTTTATGAATGTCGCCGCCGCATGAATAATTGCGATAGCAGCCAATTTGAATGCCCCCATGCCATTCAACCAGTGATTCCTTCCCGTTTTGCCAAAATTTCGGGGTTGTTTACGGCCCCGTTTGTATGTTTTAATTTCGGTGTCACTGTAAAGTGGATTAAAGTATTTCCATCGGCTTACAACCTAAAACGAGTGCAACCCCCGGCAGTTAAGCCGCCCATCGAGTTGCACTCCGCGCTCCTCAAAGGACATACGCACTTTTTTCAGCCTAATGCACTGCGAAAAATGTGCACTTCAAACAGAGGAGGGTATGCTGCTCTAGGATCACAAATTTCATAAGCTTATTGCTTTTCAAAGGTGTTTTTGGCATAGGTTCAATTGGTTTAAAATGATTTCAGACCCACAGAAACAGAGAACCCCTCTTCAAAAAGACAGCCTAATGTTGTGAGCACTTTTCTCAGTGCAGTTGCTTGTGAATTTATGGCGACTGATATATAAGGCATTTTTACCTCGGACAGTGCCTGTGATTAATATGCAACACCCCGTTGGCTCGTTTTCCCATTTTCAGAGTGGAGTTCGTGTGAAGCAGCCAAGTGTTTCCCGCACCCCGGACGCCGATCTGCCAACCCTCCCGTTCGAATTGAATTGTTACGCAAATAGCATTAATATTTATATTGTTTTTTATAAGGACGGCAAGGGTGCAGTGCAGACAGGACGTCAATTGCGAGGCTAAGTGCCACTGCAAACAGAGGAGAGTATTGCATTGAATGGGAATCCTCGAGGGAGCCGCGGCATGTGGCAAATTAGCTTGCCTTTGATGCGCGATCATGGCTGTGGAAAATTAATAAAAATTATGCCGCAATCGAGCCAACATTGATTCACTTAGCCAGGAAAGTGCCGAAAGTGTTTCGTTTACTTGGCCGGCTGTCAAGGACCTGCCACGCCCCTTGACCCCACTGACCTGCATTTGCAGGCGGTCTTGGGTCCTGGGCTTAAATCGACACGAACTTTGCGTGTTTGCCGGCTGTCGAAGCGTCGAAAAAAGCACGTGTCGATTTGATGAATGGCGTTTATTAAGCAAACAATTTCGAGCTATTTGCAGTCTAATTGAGCCCCATGCATCAACGTGTTGTGGCAGTTAAATGGCTTATTAATATTTAAAAGATATTTAAAACTAAAAACGTTGGTAACCCGCATTGTGTACAAAATACAAACACGACATACGAATGTAAGTGTACCTAATGCGAACATTAAACCCTTGCATGTCCCCTGAAAACCGAAACAGGAAAAAAGGTGAATGCAATCAAGTGCGGCTGGAAACATGAGAAATAACTGCAGTGAAGCAGGCTTTCGAGTGGAAATGGGTTTTGCATGCAGCACGCTCGCTGCTTTCGGAGGAAAGCCATAGGAAAATGGGGAAAGCATTTCCCATTAATTATAACTGCAGTGCCCACACGTTTATGGTCGGAAGTGTAGCTGTGGTCAAGTTGCCCGAACTCCGGCTAACTTGGCTGATTAGCTAATACGTCTCGTATCTATTGTTGGAATTTGGCAACACCTCAGGCTGATTTGCATAATTACTCCCTGCCACTTGACTGTTGCCAAGCAATTTACAACTTTGCGCCCCGAAACTCCCCATCATTTGCACATTTTTCGGTTTGGCAACTCTTAAAAATTAAATGAAATATGCATTACATACGAAAAGTTTAACCATAAGTGCCACAGCTTCCGTGCCAGCAAACTGACTGCGATTTCCCGGGCTGCAAAACTAGCAAGTGTAGTTACAATAAATACATACTCGTATGCAGCACTGCCGACTGTCGCCGGCATTATAGAAATCCCGTTAAACCCACTTAATTCAATAAAACACCTTTCACACACTTTGCTCCAAAGCCGACAACAAACTATAACCCTCTGTGTGTCTGTGTACCCGTGTGTGTATGAGTGTGCGTGTGTGTGTGTGTATGGGTGAATGGCGGAGCTGGAGAGCGTGCGCCAAAAGCTACTTCACGACGGCAATTTACGTTTAAAGTTGCTTAAAGTTGCTAACGACAAAAGTTATAATTGCATAACGTGCATGTACTGGTGTGTGTGAGAGTGCAGGCGGGATAACGGGACCGGGCTTTTAGTGTGTGTCGCCTTAAAACACACTCAAACATAGTGCAACACTCTCAGAGGTGCACGGAAAATTAAGCACCTCCCTGCTAGATATGAATAGCTATATCAGTCAGTTGAGTACCTTGTATTTGAAGATGATATAATAACGCATTAGGTTACCATAATAATAAGATGCTGTTAAGAGTAATAACTTTCTCCTAATTTGAATATATCAATTGAGCATATTGCAATTTGTAGAACTATCTTCCAGGAAATAGTTTCTAATAAGTTCTTGAAGAGCATTTGTCTTACATTTTGCAAGCTACCATTTTATTTATGAATCTCCTCGATCATCGCCGCCACTTTTCTCTCTCTGCAGAAATGCAGCTAAACGCTGCTTCCTTGGCTGAATTCGTATGCGAGGCAGCATATGGCAGCCGGAAATGAAACGTAAATCAAATAAGTAAAGAGCGTAAATGCGCGTTCACACAGACAGGCGCGTACACACACATGCTCACATGTACACTCAAGACGAAGTACAAGTGTATTGTCATTAGCGACAAGGACGACACAACAACAACAGCAACGACAAGAAGAAGAGGAAGAAGGACGGCGTGCGATGAATCCGAGACGCTCCTTTTGCTCAAATTGAAAAGTTTTGGAGTGCATTTTTCACGAAAGTGGCAGCGATTCGAATGGAAAGACGAACGGAGGAAATTGTTCATATTATAAAATAAAAGCGGAAAGTGTTGCGAGCAGGGCAATGACGAAAAGCGAACGCCAGGCACGCCCAGCGACGCATGTCCTTGGACTCCGCCCACCGCCACCCATCCACTTCCGCCCACGCTCCGCAGCCCATTTAGCCCGTAGAACTGGCACCCATTTTCCCAGCCCACTTTTCCAGCTGTCAGTCAACGGCAGGTTCGAAAAAATGTCAACGGCACTGTGGGCGTGGCTGTCTGTCGGTCCTTTTCTCCATTTTCATTACGTTGAAATGCGTTTCGTTGAATTAGAAACATTTCATTCTGCTGCTACTTCCTATTTCTTTTCTCCGTGTGAGTTTTCCTTCGCCTGCCACGCTTTTCCCTTTTTGGGAGGCGTTCCGGGAAGGTGTTGGAAATGTTTTATGTCTTAATAGCTTTTCGCTGGATGTGCGTCTTTCGCTTCCCATTCCCATTCCCCTTCCCTACTCCACCAACCAAAAAAAAAAAAAGAAAGCAGGGATCAAACATGAGTCCCGCGTTTGGTTTAATGGGTTAACGAGTTTGCATTTTCCCCTTTTCCATTTTCCATTCGCTTTTATTGAGGAATCTTCAATTAACGCTGCGGGAGTTGTGAAATTTGATTTCGCTCAACCAGGGGAAAATGTTGTAATTGAGTTTTAGATCTTCGTAATTAAGTCGAAAAACCTGTTGGCTTCTCTTACTTTAAAGGTCGCTTTGCTCACATTGAGCCGTTGGAATACAGACGCTGTTTCTGCGAATCCAACCAGTCTTGCAAATGCATCCATAACGACATTTCTTCGCACAATCCAGGTCTTCCCTTTGTCCACAGGATCTCTCGCAAGCCCTACAAGGTGAAACCATTTGCTTGGAGGAGCAGTGAAAGAACCATCTCAGCATCAACGGAAACGATCCATTACTAGTCTGAATTTTCCACATTGAAGTGGCCAAGAGGAAGGCCAAGATATAGAGCTGACAGTGTGCCATTGTCGAAAGTAGCTGCGAAACTGAGCCAAGTTCGCCAAAATGTGTGATACGAACTTGCTTATAATGTAAATGCATGTGCATAACTAAATACAATTTTATGACAGCATGGAACGAAAGCATAAAACCAAATATGCATGCAGTATGCAAACGCACGTTTTTACTACGTACGCACGTACTAAAACGTATATACACGTTGCAAGATCATAATTTCTTTCCGTGTAAGCCTTTCATGATACTGAAATGCATAGACTACCTAATCGGCTTTAACCCAATGAGACGTCAGCCACATGAATGGGCCAAAATTAATTTGACTACCCCCAAAACTGAAACTTAAATGCAGGACAACATTTAAATTGCATCTAACCAAGCGAATATGGAAAACCCAAACCCAAACCCAAAGCCAAAGCCGAATGAAAATTAGACCAAGCAAAACATAATTTCAATTTCCGCTGCAATTATTTGCGGGTCTCTCGATTGCTGTCATTTTGTCACCAGCTTAAATAATTAAAATCCGAAATATATGCACGTATGTATGTATTTTTGCAACAGGAAAATGCTGGCCCTATTTTAAGGTCACCGCCCATTAACATTATAATATAGTTGCACTGCGGCGATCTGAACCCAGACTGACCAGTCCGAGCCGAACATTTTCATAATATATGACAACATATGACAACAGCATTAAAAAAGGCCACAAATTTTCAATTTGGCCCCGACAAGCATTTGATACGCGACCGAAATTTGCGCATGAAAAATTCAGTTAGATAAATCCGTGATACTGTCGTCCCATGTGAATTATTACCGCCAGCCATATTGATATTCTGCACTTTGAAAAAATAGCACATTGAAAACTGTGCAACATGATACTTAGTGAGTTTCAATAAAAGTGCTTATCCAGTTTGAAAAACTGCACATTCGATGTTAAAGTATTTAACCCAGTTTAAGTGGTTATTCCTTAATAAATACTGCATTTAGGCCATACAGATGGGGATTTTTCCGGGTGCATAAGCCCTTTCAGCCGCCATCCTGTCAACGGCATTCATTGCGCTCGTCACTCCGCTTGGGCCGAAAAATTGGGGGTCAATAAAACGGCTCGAAAACAGTCGACGCGAACTCGCCTTGAATGGAGTTTTGGGGCTAGAATTTAGCGAGGAGACAGAAGGAGCAAATGGAGCTGGAGTGCTGGAATGGCATGATTCCGACTCTCTATCAGTCATCTAACCATTTAGATAGGCCATGGAGCAGCAGAAGGCAACGATGCGTGGTCGTTAGGCCCTGCTTTCCTGCTTTACTGCTTTTCTGCTTTTCTGCTTTCCTGACTCGCCGCAGTTCGAACTGCGAGTCTATACCATGAATGCCATTGCCTTTCGGTTGTATCTTAATGAAGTATCGATTTCTGGCATCGACTCGACGATTTCTCGATTTCAGTTGCCCTGCGGTGGAATTCCTTCGAGTCATGTAAATCACTTATTACATTTTCGCTTTCCGTTTGCTTCCCTCTCGGCTGCCTTTCCTTTCGGTGTGCTGATGCACAAAAATGCTTGCAGAAACTCCCCAGTGGTTGAATCTGGGAACTTAATCTCAAATTAGTTTTAAGCCCGTAACGGAATTTGACTAACTGAATTGTCATAATGGCAAATAACAACGGAAATAATGGTCCTCTGGTCGAATAAAAATCAAATCAGACCGAACAGGCGAAGCAATCTAAATGCATGTGAGTGAGTGAGCAAAGCTGTGAGCGGTGGCGTATACGTGATGACTTTGCAAATGGATTGTGTGTCTGCTGCTGTATCGTAATCACATGGCAGGCTAACATCATAAAAAGTATTGGATGTTTTATTCGCATTAGTGAGGCGCTCCGCGCCGATTCGATCAGGGATAATTTGTTGGCTGCTAATGCCGAGGCAATCTCCTTCGCAGGACCCCGAATCCTTGAATCCTTGACTGAGCAGTGCGAAGTGTGCCCATTAATTATGGCCACACAAATGGATTTCATAATTCCGGGGCCAGTGGCCAGGGACCAAAATAGTGCACTTAAGTCCCCAGCTAAAATGAGATATTTTGGGCCATTTATTTGAATATGCATGAACCGTGCTGATGGAGCGATTAAAACGCCGTCTGACACTCTCTTTCCCCAGCTTTCGTTACTTTTCCTTCGCAGTTTTACTTTATTTATTTGGTCTAACGCTACTTTTTATACCCGTTACTCGTAGAGTAAAAGGGTATACTAGATTCGTTGAAAAGTATGTAACAGGCAGAAGAAAACTTTTCCGACCATATAAAGTTTATATATTCTTGATCAGGATCAATAGCAAAGTTCATCTGGCCATGTCCGTCATGCCCCAAGACTGAGGTTCTAAAGTCCATAACTCAACTTATCTTAATCGGATTTTGAAGTGGCATACCTCTAAATGTTTCTGGAGCAATTCTCTAAAAATCTGCATTCAAATTTGGAAATATATTTTTTCGACATTTTTTGTGATTTTTCTGATGTTATGATGTTGTAGAATATCAAAAATGTCCCATGACTAAAGTTCTAAGGTCCATAACTCAACTTATCTTAATCGGATTTTGAAGTGGCATACCTCTAAATGTTTCTGGAGCAATTCTCTAAACATCTGCATTCAAATTTGAAAATATATTTTTTCAACATTTTTTTGTAATTTTTTGATGTAATGATGTCGTAGAATATCAAAAATGTCCCAGGACTGAAATTCTAAAGTCCATAACTCAGCTTATCTTTATCGGATTTTAAAGTGGCATACCTCTAAATGTTTCTGGAGTAATTCTCTAAAAATCTGCATTCAAATTTGGAAATTTATTTTTTTCAATTTTTTTTGTAATTTTTCTGATGTTATGATGTCGTAGAACATCAAAAATGTCCCAGGACTGAAGTTCTAAGGTCCATAACTCAACTTATCTTAATCGGATTTTGAAGTGGCATACCTCTAAATGTTTCTGGAGCAATTCTCTAAAAATCTGCATTCAAATTTGAAAATATATTTTTTCGACTTTTTTTTTTGATTTTTCTGATGTTATGATGTTGTAGAATATCAAAAATGTCCCAGGACTGAAGTTCTAAGGTCCATAACTCAACTTATCTTAATCGGATTTTGAAGTGGCATACCTCTAAATGTTTCTGGAGCAATTCTCTAAAAATCTGCATTCAAATTTAAAAATATATTTTTTCGACATTTTTCGACATTTTTTTGTAATGTTTTGATGTTATGATGTCGTAGAATATCAAAAATGACCCATGACTGAAGTTCTAAGGTCCATAACTCAACTTATCTTAATCGGATTTTGAAGTGGCATACCTCTAAATGTTTCTGGAGCAATTCTCTAAAAATCTGCATTCAAATTTGAAAATATATTTTTTCGACATTTTTTTGTAATTTTTTGATGTTATGATGTCGTAGAATATCAAAAATGACCCATGACTGAAGTTCTAAGGTCCATAACTCAACTTATCTTAATCGGATTTTGAAGTGGCATACCTCTAAATGTTTCTGGAGCAATTCTCTAAAAATCTGCATTCAAATTTGAAAATATATTTTTTCGACTTTTTTTTTTGATTTTTCTGATGTTATGATGTTGTAGAATATCAAAAATGTCCCAGGACTGAAGTTCTAAAGTCCATAACTCAACTTATCTTAATCGGATTTTGAAGTGGCATACCTCTAAATGTTTCTGGAGCAATTCTCTAAAAATCTGCATTCAAATTTGAAAATATATTTTTTCGACATTTTTTTGTAATTTTTTGATGTTATGATGTTGTAGAATATCAAAAATGTCCCATGACTAAAGTTCTAAGGTCCATAACTCAACTTATCTTAATCGGATTTTGAAGTGGCATACCTCTAAATGTTTCTGGAGCAATTCTCTAAACATCTGCATTCAAATTTGAAAATATATTTTTTCAACATTTTTTTGTAATTTTTTGATGTAATGATGTCGTAGAATATCAAAAATGTCCCAGGACTGAAATTCTAAAGTCCATAACTCAGCTTATCTTTATCGGATTTTAAAGTGGCATACCTCTAAATGTTTCTGGAGTAATTCTCTAAAAATCTGCATTCAAATTTGGAAATTTATTTTTTTCAATTTTTTTTGTAATTTTTCTGATGTTATGATGTCGTAGAACATCAAAAATGTCCCAGGACTGAAGTTCTAAGGTCCATAACTCAACTTATCTTAATCGGATTTTGAAGTGGCATACCTCTAAATGTTTCTGGAGCAATTCTCTAAAAATCTGCATTCAAATTTGAAAATATATTTTTTCGACTTTTTTTTTTGATTTTTCTGATGTTATGATGTTGTAGAATATCAAAAATGTCCCAGGACTGAAGTTCTAAGGTCCATAACTCAACTTATCTTAATCGGATTTTGAAGTGGCATACCTCTAAATGTTTCTGGAGCAATTCTCTAAAAATCTGAATTTAAATTTTAAAATATATTTTTTCGACATTTTTCGACATTTTTTTGTAATGTTTTGATGTTATGATGTCGTAGAATATCAAAAATGACCCATGACTGAAGTTCTAAGGTCCATAACTCAACTTATCTTAATCGGATTTTGAAGTGGCATACCTCTAAATGTTTCTGGAGCAATTCTCTAAAAATCTGCATTCAAATTTGAAAATATATTTTTTCGACATTTTTTTGTAATTTTTTGATGTTATGATGTCGTAGAATATCAAAAATGACCCATGACTGAAGTTCTAAGGTCCATAACTCAACTTATCTTAATCGGATTTTGAAGTGGCATACCTCTAAATGTTTCTGGAGCAATTCTCTAAAAATCTGCATTCAAATTTGAAAATATATTTTTTCGACTTTTTTTTTTTATTTTTCTGATGTTATGATGTTGTAGAATATCAAAAATGTCCCAGGACTGAAGTTCTAAAGTCCATAACTCATCTTAATCGGATTTTGAAGTGGCATACCTCTAAATGTTTCTGGAGCAATTCTCTAAAAATCTGCATTCAAATTTAAAAATATATTTTTTC